TGGTTGTGCTTGATGACCCCAAACACAAAAGGTTAGACTCTAGTTCTTCAAGAGCTAATCCTCACAAGAATAACTAGATTCTACACTAAATTCTTCAAGCTTGATTCCACAAACACAAGAAGATAATTCGCAGGAACAGTTTGATTCAAAAAGATAAACTTTCTTTGAAACAAATAAAACTTTTCTTGATTATAACTTTGGTGGTTTTCGAAATACAATTTTTATGAGCTTATATAATGCTTAATATGAAAGATATAAAACGGTAACAACAATAAAAAAAAAGCAAGAATCAAGCTAAAGTAATAAAATGAGTTAACTAGCCATTTAGGCTTAAATGGGGGGGGGGGGGGGGGGGGGGGGGGGGGGGGGGGGGGGGGGGGGGGGGATGGTGTAATGAAAGGGAATGATTCTTTGACTCTTCTGCTTTGTATGGACGTTTGGGATCTTTTGAGAGGATGGAGGGTCGAGATTGAGTAGAGGTAATGGTCGTTGGCCTTGTTTTTCCTTTGAAAGCAATGAAATCATCTCCAAGAAAGGAAACTCTCTTTATGTTAATATCTTCTTTGGTTTGGCTAGTTTTGAATTGGTTATTGCCTTGGTCTGGTGGTTTGAATCCTTTGGTATCTTCTATGGACGTCAGGGAAGGCAAATGATAAGAGCTGATATAAGATATGTTCATGGTTTCCTTAAATGGCTCCAAGAATGTGAATGTTGGTCTATGCATGCGGTATGGGGGCTTTGGCGGTTTAGGCTGGTCTTCTTGCATCTTAATTCGAACCAGTGATGTCTTGGCACAATCAGGAGGCTCTCTTTGATGTGTAGAACGACAGTGTATTGGTTTTAAACACTTGCTCTCTTTGAAAACAGTTTCCAGCTTCCTTTGCTCCTCTCCTTCAAGCATGTTTAGCTCCAAGTCAGCTTCTATATGGCTCCTCTTCTCTGGTACAGCTAGCATGGTACTGATTCTTACATCAGTTTGACTTTTGTAACAGTGTCATTCCAAAACACCATTTCTTCTGTTCTTCATCAGTACTTCGAGACATTTCTGCCCAACAGTCCTCACCGACTATGCCATAGCTTTGTTAGATCACTCTTTGACAATGTGGTATAAGACTCGGAATCCACTAAAGCCTACACGCGGGTTGCTGATCGATTCCACGAGCAACAGGGTTAAAGGTAGGATTCCAAGGGCTATTCCTCGCAAGGGATACAAGTCTCTACACGAAAACTTAAGTATCTGATTCCACAAAACACTCAAGAACTCGCAAGAACATAAGAGAAGTGATTCCACACAATCTCTAATGAACAAATAACAAGGCCTAAGCTTTTTAAAGAAAATTCTCTTTCATTTTCCAAAAAAAAATCAATATATTTTACAAATGAGAAAACATGAGCTTTTGTAGCCTTTTACAAATAATCTTTACAATAAATTACATTAATTTAAATTATATATTTAAATAAAAAGAGGAAAATAAGTTAAATCAAAAATAAAAATCTTTTTGCCACCAATTTTTCTTTAGACTTGAATGAGAATCTTTTGATTTTGTGAAATGATGAATACCAGATTCTAATAATAAAGCCACATTATGAAGATATTTGATTTAGTATTTTCCATATTGTATCATTTTCTTTCTTCTTAATTGGTTTTGTCCTTAAAACTATCTTTTTTAAAAAAATAAAATTTTTAAGAAAAATAAGAAAACTTTTTTAATATATTTTTTCAATTGAAAATAAATAATTAAAAACTAGAAATTATGGTAACCATATTTCGTTTTTTTTAACAATAGGAACAAACTTTGATTTTTTTTTTCTAAATAGAAAATAAAGAAAACAATTTTATAGGGTTTTTTTAAATAAAAATCATAAATCAAAGAACCAAAACATAAAACTACTTTTTGTCTTTATAAATTTTATAAGAATTAAAGAATAAAAACAACAAAAACTTTTTTTCATTGGAAATTTTGATAAAACATGAAACAAAAACCAAACAGAAATATAAAAGATAGAGAATATGATTTTTGAGCTATGATACCAGATGATATAAGACTCAGAATCTACCAAAGCCTACACACGGGTTGTTGATCGATTCCACAACAACCGGGGTTAGAGGCAGGATCCCAAGAGCTATTCCTCACAAGGGATACACGTCTTTACACGAAAACTTAAGTGTCTGATTCCACAAAACACTCAAGAACTCGCAAGAACATAAGAGAAGTGATTCCACACAATCTCTAATGAATAAAGTAAAGCCTAAGCTTTTTAGAGAAATTTTTTTTTCATTTTCCAAAAAAATCAATATATTTTACAAATAAGAATACATGAGCTTTTATAACCTTTTACAAAAAAAATATTTACAATAAATTACATTAAATTAGATTATATACATTTAAATAAAAAGAGAAAAATAAGCTAAATTAAATAAAAGTCTTTTTGCCATCGATTTCTCTTTAGACTTGAATGATAATCTTTTGATTTTGTGAAATGATGAAGACCATATTTTAATAATAAATCCACATAATGAAGATATTTGATTTAGTGTTTTTCCATATTGTATCTGACACAAGATTGAGAAATAGTCCACAACCTTAGAACAAATAGAGATCAAAGTGGATGAATGTAGCAATGGAGGTGGAAGTTTGATTGACTCTCTCAATCCTTTGGATGACTGACTCACTCAGCCTTTGGAATTTAGTCTTTTTTGAATCTCACAAACAATAGTATTCCAAGAATCAATCACAAACAATATTATTCCAAGAATCAATAGAAACAAATGAATCTCTCAAATGAATCTAAAGACAAATATTTAAACAAAGGCACTCTTTGAATAAAAAGAAGAACAAACTTTATATTTTCTTGGTTGGTTAAAGGTGATTTACAATGAAATACTAGATGAGCTTATATAGTTTCTCAGTACACATTTTACACATTAATTTTAAGAGAACATTATGTAAAAATCATAAAAGAATCAAAAAGAGAGGTTTAAGGGATTTTGAATCCTTTTTGATGGGTGATGATAAATGGACTGAATCAAGGGATTTTTTGCTGACTTTGTATCTCGATGGCTTGAGGGTGTAAGTGAGCTTCTTTGGGACTTTTTTCCTTCCCCAATAATCATGCAAAAGGCTGATGTATTGGCTAGAATGTTGCTGTTGTAGTTTGATGCAAATCTGCTCCAAATGGGGTAACTTAAGTTTGAATGTGATCCGCCTGATCTGGTATGGTCTGGTACAGCATAAGAGGTATGGAGGTGTAGATAAAAAACCCAAAACGTTGTAGATTTGAAGGTATGGTCGTTGATGATTTATAACTCCAAGTGTGAATGCTTCTGGATATAGTAAATTTGTGAACAAGAGGATCCGCCTGATCCTATGGTTGTTGGTGCATGGAAAGTTGCTAGTTGACTCTTCTGGATGGTTGGATGAGTCTTCTCAATGCTTAGATGTATCTCCTGATCGCCAAAGCATTCTTTGTCAGTGATTTATCTCGTGATCTTCCAAATAAGGCAAGCTGAGCATCATCCGTTTTAGAAGTTGAATAACTTTTAAACCATAATGAATTTCGGCATGAATCCAAATTTTCTTGGATCTATGGTAAGTTAAATTTCCAAAACATCCGGTATTGTGACTTGATTCGTCGGTTTTTGGCCGAATAATTTTATTATTGGTCGCATGTCTCCAGCTGGTTCATTGAAAATCTGCCAACTTGTATCTTCAATATTTTCTTCATATTGACTCCTTTTTAGCTGATTCTTCTTCGTAGAAAACTCTCGGTGAGTTAAGTATGCTCTCCAAGTCCTGCAAGTCCTGGTTGAGTCCTTGGCTTGACCATCACTTCCGTTGGTCCTTGATATTGTGACAGTATCATTTTCTCCCTCCTCAAATGGTTTTGTCCACAAAACTGACTTTTTTTAATAAACATTTTAAGAAAAATAAGAAAATTTTGTTTATATTTTTAATTGAAAATAAATAAATAAAAACTAGAAATTAATGGAAACCATGTTTTGCTTTTTTTAACTATAGAAACAAACTTTGAATTTTCTTAGAAAAGAAAATAAAGAAAACAATTTTATGGGTTTTTTATATAAAAATCATAAATCAAAGAACCAAAACATAAAACTACTTTTTGTCTTATTTTTAAGTTTATATAAGAATTAAGGAATAAAAACAAGCAAAACTTTTTTTTCAATAGAAATTTTGATAAAACATAAAACAAAAACAGAAAAAAACAAAACAAAAAGATAGATGATATGAGCTTTTAGCTATGATACCAAATGATATAAGACTCAGAATCCACCAAAGCCTACACACGTGTTGATGATCGATTCCACGACAAACAGGGTTATAGGCAGGATACCAAGGACTATTCCTCGCAAGTGATACAAGTCTCTACACAAAAACTTAAGTGTGTGATTCCACAAAACACTCAAGAACTCACAAGAACACACAAGAAGATAAGAGAAGTGATTCCACACAATTTCTACGGAACAAAGTAACAAAGCCTAAGCTTTTTAGAGAAAATTCTCTTTCATTTTCCAAAAAATTCAATATATTTTATAAAAGAGGATACATGAGCTTTTATAGCCTTTTACAAAGAATATTTACCATAAATTATCTATATTATTATTTGAGAAGTGAGAAACGCACCACAGCTCCTTTCAGAGGGGTTAGCGCCTTCTGCCCTTCGTAGAAATATTCCGAGTTAAATTAAGTCGATTGGTTTGGTTCGGTTCTTATTGATAAATCGATCGGTATAGTAATTTGATCTTTAAAACCGTCTCTCATATGATTTTTAGTTGGACTTTTTGAAATTAGCATCCAATGGACCATTTGAAAAACTTGGCGGCCTCTCGAAATTATATTACAAAACAAAAACCCTAAATTTTTCATAACTATATATATATTCACATATATCCCATTCATCTAGATGATTGCTTAGGTTTATTTGTTAATTACTGTCGTGTAGGTAATAGTTTAGGGTTTAATTTTTCTTTCAAGCATTATGTTTTGTTTCTTTTAAGTTCTGATTTCCTGTTCTTTGTTTTTCTTTGTTTCACAGGTAACTTAATAGAAAAAAGGATCAATTTTTCTGACGGCATGATTCACTATACTGGTAAGAATCGAAATCCTCTGCTTCTCTTTTTGATATAGATGATGGTGAACACGACACATCTCTCTATTGACCTGTCTGGAATAAAATGGTACTTTTTTTTGTTTGGAGTTTTCCGTTTATATTATTATAAGGCGGGTGATTTCAGCTCTTCCATCGGATAACATGAACAATGTTTCCGGCGATCGCATTGACGACGGCCTTTCCACCGCCGTCGCAGTCCCTGCCTCTACAACCGTACAAAATCGCCTCCCACTGATCGTCCCGTCCGCGTCTACGCCGATGGGATCTACGATCTTTTCCACTTTGGTCACGCTCGATCTCTCGAACAGGCTAAGAAACCGTTAGTACTTCTTATCTCCCGGATATATATTTCCCTAATTAGCATCCCTGATTCGATTTTTTTCCCCTCCTTGACGCTTGCTCAAAATATTCGTTGTGTCATTGTTACTTATCTGTGATCTATTGAATCGGGTTCCTTTAAAGCTGTGCAGATTTTGTTGTTTTCGTCGAGAGAAATCTTCGTTGTTTAGATTATTTGATCTGTGTTGATTGCTACTACTGCCAAAATTTGTGTGTTCGCAAAGCATTGTGGTGCGTGATTTTTAGTGGGTCTTTTTGTAAATGTTTCGTTTGTTTAGAATTTTGCAATAGCTGATGTTTCTGGATTCTCCTGCTTCAGTTTTAATTTTGTATTTTGTGGAGGTAAAAGAACTCAGATTGCGTGTGAGCCTGAAACGCAAGATCCTCTCCATTTTTTTTCTTTCTTTTCTGTGTATAATACTCTGTTTTGGCTTTCTTGGCAGGGAAAGAGTTTTTGTGTGGTAACCACATCTTCTTTCTCTCGGATTCTCTGTCTTTATTCCGTAATCGATTAGATAATCACTCATTTGAGTCATTCGCTCGAAATACACATCTCTTATCAGCTCATCTTCACCAAGAACAAAGAAACATAGCTTAAGAGAAAAAAAAAATATCGGTATGGTTAATTAATAATCAGTGATATTGTATTCTTATTTTTTATTCAAGTCCAATTCCAATAGGATATTTTTTTGCAGACATCAAGATGGTAACGCCAACTACAAGAATGGTTGATCTCCGGTCCGACACGGTGACTAAGCCAACTGAGTCAATACGTTCAGCGATGGCAAACGCGAAAGGACGACGTTTTGGGGAACGATCCAACTGCCGTGCGCTTGGAGAGAGAGGTGGCGGAGATCGCCGGAAAAGATGCGGCGATGTTTGTTCCGTCGGGAACAATGTGAAGTGATTCTTTGAGATGACTCTCACATTCACATATACGAAAACGGCGGCATTTCAGGCCTCGGTGGAGTACATCCTAGGACGGTGAAGAACGAAGAAGACGAGACTATGGAGATTGGTTCTCTTGAAGCTGCGGTGAGGAGTCCCAAAGGAGATCTTCATTATCCGCTTACTAAGCTTATATGTCTTGAGAACACTCAAGCAAAGTAAGTCTTTGTTTCCTACTCATTAATACCATGCATGTTTGGTGTAGAGGTTTAGTTTAGGTTTCATTTTAGGAGACTTTGTTATAAAAAGAAAAAGAAATTATTGTGATGTGTGTAACTCAAAACGATAGTAATTAAACCCATTAGAGAAAACGAATTAATTTTTGTTGATGCAGTTGTGGAGGTAGATGCTTGCCTATAGAGTATATTGACAAAGTTGGAGAATTGGCCAAGAAACATGGCTTGAAGCTTCACATCGACGGAGCTCGGATCTTCAACGCTTCTACTGTTCGTATCCAAACATTTCAATATATAATTCGTTTTCATATTCTGTTTTTCCGAATCCTTCACTCAAATACGTGTGTCAATGCTTTGAAGTTTGTAAGTTCATTTTTTTGGATCTTGATTAGGCACTCCAAGTACCGATGAAGAGGATTGTTCGAGCCGCAGATTCAGTCTCGGTATGATTCATCAAAACACATGATCTTATTCGATGCGAGTAGATTTGTTTGTCAAAAGGTGTAGGTGCACCGGTCGGTTCGGTCATCGTGGGAAGCCAAAGGTTCATCACTAAAGTAAGTTGGCTTTGAATCAAATTGAGACAGCTAAATAGCAATTATTTTTATTCCTCTTCAACTATTGAATTATTAAAAATGCAGGCAAGGTGGTTAAGGAAAACATTAGGCGGAGGAATGAGTCAGATCGGTGTGCTCTGCGGCGCGGCATTGGTGGCTCTACATGAAAACGTCGCCAAGCTTGACCACAAGAAAGCCAAGATCTTGACAGGTGACTGTTACCCGGATATAATTTTGTTATTTCTTATCCGGAATATCAAATTTAACGTGATTGTGCTAACCGATTGTTTTTTTTTTGTTTTTGGTTTCCTACATTACCAGAAGGACTGAACCAGATTGAACGGTTAAGAACGTTGCGGTAGTGGAAACGAACATCGTAAGTGTCCAGTAATTTAATCCAAAACCGAAGAAGATATTAATAAAAAGAATACTTTGTAGAAGTATAATATCAAGAAAAAGTACTTTCTTCAATATGAGTATTTTTACCATGAAAAAAGTCTATTATACCTTTGAAATCTCTCTCTCTCCTTTGAAATCTCTCTCTCTGGCCAAAGCTTAACTACATATATAACACCATTCACAAGATACTCATGGACAACCACATGTGGATGAGTTGAAAAATTCTAAAATCTATCAAAATATTCAAAACCATCGATGGATGGTTATTCATGGATTACTACGTACAAATATTCATAAAAAACTCTGTAATATTACACTACTACTATTTAGTCCATGTGGATCTACATCTGTTAATACACAATTATACATCGTTCATTATTTCATATCCATATAAGTCCATCCACGTAAATTATATCAAATCATATATTCAGTTGTAAATGCCTTAGAATTCATGGTAGGCTGTTATATGTTGATTTCAACACCCATCCACGCTTGAATATATACATGGAGTTGTTATAATAGATAATATCCATCAAACTAATATCTACCGTCTAAGCAGTCTTTTGAACCAGTGATAGGACAGTTGAAAGAGTGTATGTTGATCACCCAATTTTGCATAGATGTCCCATATATGGACATGATAGTATGGACGATAATCAGCATATTTATCTATACTTGGTTATACATGGATGCCCATTTATGGACATGCTACTATGGATGAACATACAATGATGAATAAACGATATATTATAAATGTATTAAAACTCATTGTATGCTATTATATGTTGATGTCCACGAACACTTATCCACATTTGGATATCATTTTACTGTCATAGATCTGTAAATATGAAGAATGACAAAAAAGAAGAATGGTGATTTTACAAAGGATATAATAAACAAAAGAGTAAAGAAAAAGACAAAAAAACTACCTTAGTTGAAGAAAGTACTATTTCTTATAAAAGAACTCTATAAAGTACTCTTTTTTGTTAACGTCTCAAAACCGAACTGGTAACCAGTACTTTAAATTTATTTACTGTTTTTAAATTTGTTTTCTTCATACTATGCTATATCTCTTCGTTGTTTGTTTATCTTTTTCTCTCTAATTTCATATGTATGCTTAGTAATTTAATCTGTGTTTGATCTTTTTTTGTGTGCTTAGTATACTCCTAGAAAGAAGAATAGTTATAATAATCATCAAAAATCAGGCACGATGATGACACAAACTTGGAAGCCTGTTTTTGGTATGATCAACTCTATTCTCTTTATAAATTTTATCTTTCATCATTTTCTCGAAGGAATGATTAAATACTTCAATTATTCTATCACCTTTTGGTCAGCGAGAGTACCAATTGATGAGGATCGTAAGGTTATTTTAGTTTTTGTATGTTTTAACAGATCTAATCTTTTTGTTGATTCTTATTTTTATTAAACTTGGATGAGTTCTTCTTCTTAATTATTAAGATAATTGTTTCCTGTGTTGGGTAATTATTTACCAATAGGTATTCTATAGTGTGTTTGTATGTACAAAAGTAATCTTTTAATCAAGTTTTGCTGATTTAATCTTATGTTGGGTTGACTATGTTGGAATCTCATACTGGTTATGATTGTTTCCTCTTTCGTGAGAAGAAATATGTGGCTTTACCTTTCAGAAAGAAACTTGGAACATCTTTAGCGTGCAATTGTTATGATTCTTACTCATTTGTGAGCAAAAAGTTAAGGTTCCATTTTTCAGAAATAAATCTATAACTGAACATATGAAACAATAAAAAGGAAGATCTTGTGTCTATTTCGCATTATCTCCATTTTAGGATTCAATATGTCTCTGTATAGGCAATTGTCGCACTTGGTGGAGGTTTTAAAAGCTATGCTAAATGACTGATTCACGTACAAGATTGAATTGAGACAATCTCTGTTTGGTTCCATCTCTGACGTAACACAAACTCTCTCTTTTACTTATCATCCTTTTTATTCAGCATTTTACTTTATTGCAGGTTGAATTGCAACGTCGGTGACACCGCCGATAAGGACGAACATGGCTCCAAAGAAATTAGTCATGTGTCCTGCTCTTGCTATTTGATTTTGTGATGAATACTTCATGATTAAGATGATCAATCTTATGTTTTTTTTTCTGGGTTGAACGCTCCAGTTCAATTCACCATCTCCAACGAAACTTTTTGAATTTTAGGTTTTGTTTTCATGAATCAAAATGTGAATGTGTGCTATACGTAAAAAAAAAAAATACAAATGTGAATGTGTGTAGGAATCTGAACGCTTAATTTTTCTAGCTTAATGACTTTCATTTTTTGAATTTATAATGGAGTTTAAAATTGTTGCTTTAGCTGTTTTAGGAAAAAAAAAATTTGATTTAAGATACTCACTGTTTTTGTAAAAATTTGTATGAATCTAGCTGTTGGAAAATATCTGGAAGAAAAATATTGGAGGATATTACATTCGAAGGAATCATAATTTTTAATGGGTCGAATGAGTAATTTATATGTGAGTACATTGGTCTAGTCTAAAAATCATGAAGAGACAAATAACAAAGGAGTTCAAGTTTATAAAGATCTCTTTAGTTTTAATATATACCTGACTATACAAAAAAAGAAATTTTATAATTTTTCTATGCTTAGTTTGTTTGTAATATGTCTATTTATTGTTTAATTTATTTTGTTATAGTTATAGTTCATAAACCTACTTTAGTGATGTGTATTTTTGCCCGAAGAAGAGAGAAATAGGTAGGAGAGAAGAAGAGAACGAGGGAAAGAGTAAATAATAAAATTTGATGCTCAAAGCATTATTTCAGTCGATTGATCTTGAATAATATGTTAGGTTTTTTTTTTTGGAGTCTTCTTGATTGATTAAGTAAGTGGGTTGAAGTTAAGATATTTATTTGAAGAAGATCAGAGAGAGAGAGAGAGAGAAATTGATGGTGGACATAGAGAGAGAGAGAGTAGAAAATAGAGAGGATAAGGAGAGAGAAATAGGTAGGAGAGAATTAAAATGAGAGAAAAAGGAAGGGGAAAATAATAAAACATTTCTTCAAAAAATAATAAAGGAAATAATAAGTGTTAAGATAGTAAAAAAAATTTAGTTACACTAGATAATTAATTCGGCATTGTTAATTAATTCTTAGTTCTTCAGATTTTTTGTTCTAATCTTTAGAGTACATGTACGTCATGAGGATATAAATATGAGGAGAGTTGCAATTGTGATCATGATGTTTATATGCAGACCTGATTATAACAAAGAATAAAGTTTATGATTTCTGTTCAAAACTACTATGTTTTTTTTTCTATGCTTAGTTTACTTGCTATGTGTCTATTTATTGTTTTATTTATTTTGGTATATATATAGCTCATAACCCTAATTTTGTGTTACGTATTCTAAACCCACCTAATTAGAAAACTGAAGCCCGTGACCATCGTAAAAGTATTTATGATTTTATACACAATCTAAAATACAAAACTGAAGCTCATGGCCATCATACACAATCTAAAATACAAAACTGAGACTCGTGGCCATCATGAAACTAAATATAATAAATCTCCCAAACTAAGAAACACAACAGACATCGCCTTTCAAAGATATCCATGGTACGATTGATATCAACAATCAGAGAAACATATGCAAGAATCCTCAGTTTCTTATCTTCGACAGTCTCAACACATACACCATGGTCGTTTAGGTGGAGACAGAGAAGATCTACTTCGATACCGTATCTATCTACATATTATTTTATATATGAGACATTTATTTGTAATATTTGTTATATATACTCTTTATATTTAGCTGTTTCCGTCTCTATAATAGACATATAATATCCACTAGCTTGCTTTTTGACATGGAGTCTACGCAAAAAGCAAATCCGATTGACCCATCTTCTTTTGGTATTTCACCTTTGAGCCATGGTTTTGTTGAGACAGCTGTTTTGGTGAAGATATTACGAGTGTGGACTACTTCGTTTGATCCATATGATGTAAGACTGGAAATAATTTTTTTCTGATAACAAGGTTCGTGATGTGTTGTTGAATTAGTGAACTCTGGTGTGTAGTTTTGCATATGTTGTTATTTCATTATTAATTAAATGTTATGATGCAGGGCGTGGAGATTTGTGGTACAGTTCACGCTAATGATTACGATCGTTTTTTGCCTCAGTTAAGCGAGGATGTTTGGGTTAAAAAATTTGTTGCTGTTGATACGGATCACCCATTTAGTGTTACGTCTAATCATGTTCACTTGCTTATCGTTAGTCCTACCATTGTTCGTATGCAAGATTATCAGTCTGAATGAAATTTTTTCAAGTTCTTTGGCTTTGAGAGGATTCTCAGCAAGGTTCCTATCGGTACTTCTTCGATTGGTATGTTCGTATCCGCTTTCTGTAAATTTTGACATTAACATAGTTTATTTTGAATATTGACCTGTAAATTGTGTGTATTTTAGATTTAATTGGAAAAGTTGTCAATGTTGGAAATCTCGACAACGCATTGTATTTATAAGGGAATTGGTGGATGTGCAATGATAGCATTTGAACTAATGAGTCTCAGGTATGTTGTTGTAACTACAATTGATATAAATTGATTAATTAAGTTAGAGAATGAACTAATTGCCAAAAGTGAAATTTTAAAGTTGTTCAACTCACTCAAGTCTACAAAAGCGACAATTGAAGAGCTCAAATCTTACCTACAACAAAAAGAAGAAAAAGTAAATTATGACATTAATGTCTTCAAAAAAATAAACCAAAGTTAATTTTTACAAGACAATTAAGATCTAGATGTTGTATTTGAGTGATTACGTTTAACAACTAACTAGATATTGAAAAGGGAATGAGTTGCACTTGAGATGACGAGAGAGGTTGCTAATCCCAAAGAATATTCAAATATTAAAGTATGGTGCTAAGCTGTTCAGTAAAGCATGAGAGAATGTGTGGAAAATACTAACTAATGCATACTTTTTAAGGTAATTCAGGTTGTACCTTTGTCTTGCTGGATAAGTAGATTTCACCACTTGGGAAAATAACCACATAGTTCTAAATGCTTGAAATAAAAGAAAAAGTGTTTAGATTACATGGAATCTGCAACTTAAGCAAACACACAAGGCTATTATAACATAGTTTTACTTAAATAGATTGTATGCACTTGCTTTTGAAAAGTGAGAGACAACTCGATGGAAGGGTACACAATTTGCCAACCAAGAATGATGTTGCCAGTCTTATTTCTGGAGGTTTTTCAGATGGGTGTTGACACACATGTTATTGTTGTTGAAATTATAGACGGTCGTTTAGATCAGTACTGCATCCTACTTACTTGGTGTTGCAGTATCCCCTTTGGTTTCCTTACGGTGAAGACGGTATTAGACTGGGGATTGACATTGGATTTGTTTATATATCTGGGAGAGTGCGTTAAAATATCACTATGCGAGAGTTTTTTGCTTTTCGAATACAATCCAGAGAAGGAGAAGCTACCACTGTTAAGGAAATCTCTTTCTATTTCTTTCCCAAACTGTATTATCTTTCGAGTATATATAATACTTCTGCATTAGTATCTTATATGTAATTTTATTCTTTGATGGAGAATATAGTTACTGCTGGTGATGATGATTTCGACATGGATACATCTTCATGGGCCTCATCCATAAATGATGACAGTGATGATGATTATGATAGGGATCAGGATTTTGAGTATGATGAAGATGTGGACGATGACGAAGATGACGATGATGATTTGGAAGGTCTTGATGAAGAAGTAGTTAGTGGTGGGTGTCCTGATGACTCTGCTGATGAAAGTTCTGATAGCGATGGTTATACTTCTGATTCTGATATCAACGAAGATACTGATTATGAACCAGATGTCAATACAAAAAAATCAAAAGCTGTTCGTCTTGCTTGCCCTGTAACCCATATCAAGTCTGAGAGTTGGTTTCTTGAAAATGGTAAAATTCTTCCTGACCCTATTCGTGATGCACCTGTTGAAAATGTTAGGCCTCGATCAGTTGTTTTCCTTTTACATCCTGTAACGTTTGAGTCTTCGATTACAGTAAAGATATTGCGTGTCTGGACACATGTTACACATCCAAACGGTAAAAGAATGGAGGTTATTCTGAGTGACGATAAGGTATTGTTCATAACTTTGTAATCTTTATATTTTTGTTGTTATCATATTTATACTAATAAATAGTTGTAATTTGTTGATAGGGTGTTTGGATCGTGGTAGTAGATGAAATTGGAAAATATCATGCTACCACTCATCTTAGTAGAATATTCTTTCTAGACACAACGATTGTCGATGAACAACGACAAAATTTTTGTGCTAGAATTTTTTTTCATTTTCTTGATTTTCGTATGATTTTAAATCGAGTTCAGAGTGACGATTATTTAGTTGGTAAGTTTACTTACATAATTTTTTTTTTATTTTTTGCTTTGGTTATTAATTTATAAAGTTTTGTTGCAGATATAATTGGTCGGATTGTCAATGTTAAAGGATATAACACATGGGGTGGGCATATACCTGATATGAGTATCACTGGTGGAACTGTTACATTCGAGATGGAAAATACAAAGTTAGCTATTACCATTGGTATTTGGTTATTTCTGTATAATTTTTAAACTCTTATTTGATTATAGTTTGTTTCGATTCTAGAAATGTTCGTTTGAAGTGTGAGTTCATTGGTGAGATAGTTGTCGGTTTCTTTAAGGAATGGTTGGACTGTTGTGCTGGTGTCGTTGCCTGTGTTAGAATAGAGATCTTGGACAGCGTCGATTTCTTCAAATATGTTGGACAAGTTGTTCATGTTCGACTTCGATTAACCCTTAAAGGCAAGCATATGGGCCGTGGTTTTGTTGAGTTTGCTTCTGCTGACGAAGAAAAGAAGGTGATAGTAGTTTATAGTAACGATGAAAAGTATTTTACAACTACAAGTTATTTGAAAGTAGGAGTGCTGATTCAATCTTTCACACTGCAGGCACTGGAAAAGAAGAATGGTGAATATTTGCACAAGCGCGAGATTTTTCTTGATGTGGCTAATAAGTGAGATCGTTGCCTTCCACCCAAGTAAATCGATTTATGTTATGGAGATTTGTTTATGTAACTTATTGCTAATTTTTTTTATGCCACTACAGAAAGATTAAAGCTATTATTTTTTGTTAATTAGGTATTGCTTAAATTACACGGTTTGGTAAGGGATTTAACTATTTTTCTCTTAAGTTTGTTATCAATAATAGCACATTGGGTATACATGGAGAGATGACAAGGGTTTTTGATGTTGCAGGTACGAAGACTATCTTCGACGAGAAAGCCTTGTGGTAGAAGAAGATGCAGCAGAGGAAGGACTTGATGAAACTCCTGAGGTACATCTGCTTATTATCTTCAAAATAAGCCAGGCTCTGAAGAAACGCATAGCTTTTAATGCCACAAAGTCGAACGATGAATCTACTTTTTGTTGTTATATTCTTAGATTAGTGTAGTATATTCTTAGATTCTTTATTCTGGTTTAAGAATTCTTTTAAGGTGGACTCACTAAACAATCTCGAGACTACTCTGCTTTCAGGTTGATTTTTTATTCTACTTTACGTTCCCTTTGTTTACATTGTCCATTCCATTGGATTCTTTAATTATTTAGTTTTCTCTTATCGAATAGGAGGTCTGGTCATCTTCCTAAATTCTTTCTCATTACCTGAAAATCGGTAAACCCTAATCGAAGTTCTAAATTGTTTAGATATCATACATAGAATTTTGATGAGGGTTTAGCTTGCTTATACTTCTGTATAATTATCATACCTAGAGTTTCGATCTCTAGCATTCTAACATCAGCATATTTATATCTATCATAGCCATTTTTTTGGTAATATTTATGCTCCTCATTCTAGGTGGAGCATGCAAATAGTTGTATACTGTGTGGGAACAACCTTTATTTACACAAAAGGAGTAGACACGTAATATATAAGCATTGTTTATAATCATATATCTGAATTCCTTGACTTAATTGCTAATGGCCACTTCTTATATCTTGAATTTCTTTACCGTGGCTTAAACGTAACACATTTTTCTGTAAACTTAGCGTATTTCTTATCCTCTTCTCAGTAATTTTAGAACTGAGCTATGTTGATCATGTATTTGCACACAGCGTGTGCCACAATGGATTTTTTACACAAAAAGTTTCCAGAGAATAACATAATTAAATAGAAATATTTTTACATGCTCGACTAACTTAAAATTGTATCATCCTTAGCTATATGGATTATAGATTATGGTGACTAACTATATTAGAAATATAAATTATTTTATATTATTGTACTAATCATTTACCCGCAAAGAGGAAAGTTAAGCTATAATTGGAAATTAGGTGATTGTAAGTTTGTTACACCATTTAAAGAAGAGGAAAAGAAATATAACTAAATAGATCTAGAGCAAAAATAATATCAAGTTAATGATTTTGTTCTGATACAAAGGAATTAATAACCTAAAAAACTAAATTGTTGCGACCAAAAGCAACAAGGGAGCAAAGAGCTATCATAGCGCCAGCTAGAAATGATAAGTTGATCAACATGGAGACTGATCAAGAACAAGAGGGAGAGAGAAGGAGTGGGTGAGAGAGATAAAATGGAGAGAGATGATATAAGATCAAGGGGGTATGATCTTATAGTTGATAGGTGAATGGATGGGAACAAAGCAGCTGGACTAAGGTCTCTTTCTACTTGTTCAAAGGATGATCGAAGTGGATGGTGATGGAATCAATCTGCTGGACTAAGGTCTCTTTCAGGTTGATCAGTGGATGGAATGGAAGGATGATGGAATGAGGGATGCCACTCAGCTTTATGGAATAAGCAGAGATAAGTCAAGAACTCAAGAGAAGGGCTTCTCACACAATCTCAAAGAACTCTGGTTTTTGTTTGCAATTCTGAAAGAACAACAAAAAGGGTTTTTCTTATTAATCAAGTGTAAAAAAATACATAGCTGAATGGAACCTTATATATGGTTCAAGCAGCTGAGGGCTTCCTTGGCCAATTTATTACAATAATTAATGCAAGAATCAAAAATGCAAAATCAAAGGAAAATCAAAGCAAGAAATACAAAAGTTCATAAATAAAAGATAGCTAATTTTAAGGGATTTAGCTGTTGAGATCAAACAAACATAAACACAAGGATTAGTCAAAATATGATATAAATGATTCAGAAACTTACCTTGGTTTGCTGTGGGCGGATTGGTACATTTGGAAATCCGGTTTGATCTCTCCTTTGCTTTGATTCAGCTCGGTTTGATGGAAAACAAGGTGGTTCCTTGGTTGGATGATATAACCGGCCAAACTTCTTCATGTGAGTTGAATTTGATGTATGGACCGTCCTGCTGGTGTATCTCATGAACTTGAGTGATGTGGTCTTCAAGTGTCTCCTGTGAAGTGTCCGTTGAAGTGATGGCAAGCTTGTCAAGTTGGTCCGTTATTTCTTCAAGTGCTTGTTGGCTTATTAGACTCTCCACAGCTTGATTATACTCTTCTTGAAGTCTTTTTGTACCAGCTCTTGTCCTTGGTGGAAACCCCATTGTTGGAATCACTACTTCAGGTTTGATGTCCGCATCATTCCCTCCCTCTTGAGAGGGTTCTGACCTCAGAACTGTTTCTACCACATCAAAAGGAGATAAATCAGTAATATTGAAATTGGGAGAAATGTTTAACTCACCTGGCAGTTCCAGCTTGTAGGCATTATCATTGACACGTTCTAGCACCCTGAATGGTCCATCTCCTCTTGGCGAAAGTTTGGACTTCCTTTGAGTGGGAAAACGTTCTGCCCTCATGTGCAACCACACCCAATCTCCTAGTTGAAAGGTGACTTCTTTCCTCCCTTTGTCTGCTTTTCTCTTGTACTGAAGTGTTTTCTTCTCTACATTCTCCTTTGCCTTGAGGTGCAACTTCTTAACAAACTCAGCCTTCCTCTCTCCATCTTGGCTGGCATGCTCATTTTGTGGAAGTGGAGAAAGGTCCAGTGGTGTGAGAGGCTTAAAACCGTAAACAGTCTCAAAAGGAGAGAATTTAGTAGCAGAGTGTGGGACACGGTTATAAGCAAACTCAACAAATGGTAAACAGTCAAGCCAATTTTTCAAGTTGTTACCGATGGTGGCCCTCAAAAGGGTGGATAATGTGCGGTTGACAACTTCAGTCTGGCCATCTGTTTGGGGATGGCATGTTGTGGAGAATAGCAACTTCGTCCCTAGCTTCCTCCAAAGCGTTTTCCAGAAGTGGCTGAGGAATTTGGTGTCTCTATCTGAGACAATGGTCCGTGGTAGACCATGTAGATGTACCACCTCCTTGAAGAACAAGTCAGCTGTATGTGTAGCATCATTGGTCTTTGCACAAGGTATGAAGTGTGCCATCTTAGAGAATCGGTCCACCACCACAAAGATGGAGTCCTTGTTCCTTATCTTGGGCAAACCTAGTACAAAATCCATAGAAACATCTTCCCAAGGCATATTAGGTATAGGCAATGGAAGATAAAGACCATGAGGGTATGACCTGGATTTTGCCTTAAGGCAGATGATGCACTTGGAACAGAACCGTTCAACATCTCTTTTAAGATGAGGCCATAAGAAATGCTCCACTACAATGCTCAACGTCTTGTCTACTCCAAAGTGTCCCATTAAACCACCTCCATGTGATTCTCTTAACAGCAAATCTCGCATGGAACCTTGTGGAATGCACAATCTCTTGTCTCTGAACAAGAAACCTTCATGCTGATAGAATGGACCTACAGCTCCGTTGTAGCACTCTTTGTATGTATCTGCAAAATCAGGATGTTTCATATTGCAACTTAATATGTTCAGAACCCATTACCTTAGCCTCCATAGTGGTGATGAGAGCATAGAGCCTGGAAAGAGCATCAGCCACTATATTTTCTTTTTCCTTCTTGTACTTGATAATGTAAGGGAAGGTTTCTACAAACTCCAGCCATTTGGCATGTCTCTTCTTAAGTGTAGTTTGTCCTCTTAAATGTTTAAGAGTCTCATGATCTGTATGAATGACAAACTCTTTAGATAATAAATAGTGTTGCCAAGTTTCAAGAGATCTCACCAAAGCATAAAGCTCCTTGTCATAAGTGGGGTAGTTCAAGGCTGCTCCATTGAAATTCTCACTAAAGAAAGCTACTGGACGTCCTCCTTGAGTCAAGACAGCTCATATACCAGTTCCTGAAGCATCACATTCAATCTCAAAAGTCTGATCAAAATTAGGCAATACCAAAACTGGTGCATGGGTGAGGCTGTGTTTGAGCTTGTCGAACGCCTCTTCTTGTGCTTCTCCCCATTTGAATTCAACATTCTTCTTGATAACTGACGTGAGTGGGGCTGCAATGGTGCTGAAATCCTTGACAAATCTTCTGTAAAAACTTGCCAGCCCATGGAAACTCCTTACATGTCCAATAGTTGATGGAGTTGGCCAATCTTGTATAGCCTTTATCTTTTCGTCATCAACTTTCAAACCCTGAGAACTTACAACAAATCCTAAAAATACAACTTGATCAGTGCAAAAGGTGCATTTCTTAAGATTAGCATAAAGATTCTCCAACCTAAGTGTTTCAAGAACCTGTTCTAGATGTTTGAGATGATCATCTAAGCAGGTGCTGTAAATCAGTATGTCATCAAAATAGACAACTACAAACTTACAGATGTATGCCCTTAAGACATGGTTCATGAGCCTCATGAATGTGCTGGGGGCGTTGGTGAGGCCAAATGGCATAACAAGCCATTCATACAACCCTCTCTTGGTCTTGAAGGCAGTCTTCCATTCATCTCCTTCTTTCATCCTCACTTGGTGATAACCACTTCTTAGATCAATCTTGGAGAAGATAGTGGCTTCATTGAGTTCATCCAGCATGTCATCAAGTCTTGGGATGGGATGCCTGTACTTGATGGTTATATTGTTGACAGCTCTGCAATCAACACACATCCTCCATGAACCATCTTTCTTTGGCACTAGAAGGACAGGAACTGCACAAGGACTTAGGCTCTCTCTGATGTATCCCTTTGACATGAGCTCT